AACCTTCAGAGAGGTGCCTCTATTTTTGTTACCTTTATTGCACTAATGTTTAAATTGGTTCTTCTCATTCTTTTTTTGCTGTATTCAACAGATTCTTTGAATGCATGAATAACATATTTGTTGTTAGGTGCCATCAAGTTGGTACCGACCCATAGCGACCTTATGCACAGCAAAACGAAACGCTCCCTGATCTGGGCCAACCTCACTACTGTTGCCACACTTGAGCCCATTGATGCTGCCACTTGGCCAATCCATCTTGCTGGGGGTCTTCCTCTTTTTTCTCTGACCCTCCACCTTGCTAAACATATAAGAACCTATAAACCCATTTTTGTTGATTCTTACTCATATGTGCAACATAGAGTTGCACTTCATAGTGGCTATGATCTTTTGGAATCAGATTGCCAGTCCCTTCTTCCAACGTGCCTGCGGATTGGTTCAAAGTGCTAATGTTTAGATTAATAGCTGAGCGCCCAACCTTTTGCACCACACAAAGACAACTAAGAATCTATAGACTTAACTATTACATGTAAGTTTTTAGTTAAGTTAAATTATTATGATATAACTTATTTATCTTTTATACTTTGCCTCATTGTAGACTGAAAACACTTAAGAGGGAAAATTGAAGGGAAGTAACTCTTTATCTTTTGTCCCTCCCATAGTTTTCATGTGTGAACATTACAGCAACCAAGTAGATGATACACCCCATATCCTGGCATCTCAGTTCTTTGACTTCTGTAGTGTCAGTGGTCTTCTTCTCTGCCCTACCTTAACCATCTGCCTTACGGCCATTTGTTAGTGTTGTTGTGAAGTGTGGTCGAGTTGGTTCCGACTCCTAGTGATCCTGTATAGGCTTTCCAAGGAGTGGCTGGCAATTTTGAACCACTGACCTTATGGTTCAGACAGACCTCGCAGTCTATGCTTTATTCCACAGTACCACATGTGCATGAATTTGAAGAATCAAGTAGTACTATAAGGTTTATTTTTAAAAACAGCAACTTACAGCCACCTTGTTCTCTCATTTCTCTTTTTCCCAAGGCTTTCATTTTTAGCTTTTATACCTGATTCTTCTGGCAGTTGCTTCCATTTTTAAAAAATAGCTTGTTTGATCTGTTACTGTTTAAAGTTCTGTGGTTGGCATTTGGTTTTGGACTTCCACCGTGGCAAGTAAAGAATTAGTTCTCTTTCTTCCTGGGACTTTTTATTATGCATATACACAGTTCTCAGCCTCTGCAGCTTCCTAACTGATTGGTTAAATCAGTACATAAATCTTCACATTATGAACTGTATGTTTTTCTGAACTAATTTTTCTTCTGCAGCTGTCTTTTCCTCCTTTATTACATAATCTTCTTTCTTTTCTGTTGAGTCATTTCATTAGCATAAACAAATCTTTCGTGGCTTTTTTAAAAAGGAAAACATCTTAGTCACCTATGACTGTCTTCAGCCGCTATCCCATTTCTGTGTCTTTCGATCATAGCAAAGTTCCTTGAACCTCTAGCCTGCACTGGCATGCTCCACCGCCTTCCCTCCCAGCTTCTCCACCGCTGCTAGCCACACCAGATGGGCTTCTGTTTCTGTCATACCATTGAGAAGACTCTTGTCACATCGATCACAAATAGTTTATCTTTTTGCCAAATCCAAATATAAAATCTAAGTATCTTACTTTTTTCTCTTCAGCAACTTTTGATTGGTTTGAGCACTTGTTCCTTGAAACACTTTACTTGCTTTCTGGGATACCTCACTGATCTGATTTTTCTCTCTGTATCTCTGATGATTTCTTCTTTTCATTTACTGATTCTTCTCCTTTCAGTTTTCCCCTCAGAAAGGTTAAGCGTACCATGGCTGTTTTGCTCCCCCCCTCCTTTAATTTTGTGAGGCAATCCAAACCTTTCCCATCATCAATAGATGGATGACTCTAAAGTTCCTGTCTTTGGCCCAAAGCTTCTCAAAGGTCCAGATTTAGATATAGAATTGTCTAGTCAACATCTCCATTGGGGTGTGTTGATAAAGCATTTCAAGCATAACATGAGAAAACTAAACTGGATATCCATTTCCTACCAAACCCTCTTCTCTGCTTTCCCTCTCAGTAAATGCCACCATCATCAGTTTCCCAGGCCAAACACTTCACTTAGTCATCTTTCTCATTTCCCACATTGAGCCCATCAGTCCCTTTTGGCTGCATTTAAAAACCATATTCTATTCCTCACAACACCACTGCTACAGCCATATTCTAGTCTTGTATCATTGTCTCTTCCTAACTGGTCTTTTCTCTTTCCCTAATTCACCTACCATTTTATAGGGCAGGCACCGAGATAGATATAAGTCAGATTGTTCACTTGATTTCTTGTTTCATTTTGAATTAAATCAAAGCCCTTTCTGTAGCTCGCACTAACAGTACCCTCCCTGATCTGAGCCCTGCCCACTTACAGCTTCAGCTACCCATCATCTCCTTTAAGTCTCTGAACATGCTGGCCCTTCTGCCCCATCCTATTTCCAACTCAGGACTTTTGCCCTTGTTCTGCCTTGTTCTAGCAAAATACCTCCTTCCCCCAGTATAATCCTTTAAATGCCATTGGCTTGTCATTTTCCTTTCAGCTGTTAACTTCAGATTGAGTTCTGTTCAGTTATTAACTCTAAAGTAGTGCATCTAATGACTAAACAACATTAGTCATAATTAGGGGAAGAGAAAAGACCAGTTAGGAAGAGACAGTGATACAAGAATATGTCTCAGTAGCATGTCTTATACCTGCAGCCCAAGTATATTTTCTTAGATTTTCACTCTAGAATGTAATCTACCCTCATTCTTTCCCCTCCTCGAGCCTCTCTGGTATCCTCAGTCCCTGGAAGTTTCTGGTGTGTGGAAGGAATGTTGTTGACTAACTGTCACAGTTCAACAGACTTTTTCAAACAAAGCATCTTAAATATTTCTTGGGCATTGTGTATGTTTATTCTCTGTCTCCATCAGAAAATAGAGAAGAAAATCTAACCTAGGTTATCTTATATAATTTGTTTAAAGCAGTATCTTAAAGTACTCCAAATTTCTAGGACATCAAAACCCTACCCTTACCATGTATCATGTTCAAATATGAATTTTAAAAACCCAGCAAAGTAAATTGTATGAGTTTGGGATCATTCTTTTCTCTTTATTCATTAGCCTTTGTAAAGATTATGTACTATTATGTCATAAATCATATTTGAATTTCTAATGTTTTGTTACTATGTAACAGAGTTTGCATTATAAATATATGTAATTACATTTGTGAACAGATCATCAAACATGGCTTCAAGGTTTTAACTGCTTTTCCTCCATATGATTTCTTAACAGGAGATAATTTTTTTTTTTTTTTTAAATTTAATTTAAGGTTTTTATTATTGGGTTGAGTGAAAGTTTACAGGGCACATCATCAGTTTCACATTCAACAATTCATATAACTTGTTTCATTACATTGATTATAATCCCCTCCATATACCATCAGTTAAAAGTATTTCTCTCTATCCACTTTAGCTTTTTAAAAAACACACAAACAAAAAAAACCACTCAGGTATATATAATAATTTACATCTCCAAAGGGCACATTCTGCAAGTCTGCTCCTGGCCACCAGTTCTTAGTCCTCCTCTTCTTAGTCCATGAATCTAGAGTCCTCAGCTGCTCCCCCTCTCTATACCCGCATCTCTGCTTCCATCTCTGGCGCTTCTGCTTCTCTGGATAAGGTCCCGCATTCTATTTGTGCGTTCCTCTCTTGATGGTCCCAGGGTCCTCTGTTTCAGGATGGTCCCCTGAGCCTGCTTGGTCGGGTATTCTATGTTGTTGTTGGCGGAGCTCTTTGTTACACGTCCACCCAATTTGCCATCTTGTTTGTTCTCCCCAGGAGATAATTTTTTAACTTTACTTTTGCCCATTGAAGTATTTTTTCGATTAAATTAAAGCATTTCAATAAAAGAAGTATAAATTCTACCTCAATAAATTGTTGCTCTGAACTATTTTTTACCTTTTGACAGTGAAGCGCACACTATTGTTAACATTTCAGTATCCACTGGGCAGATCATCATATTTGTTAGTATATACATTAAAATTATCAGAAGCTGAAAATATGTTTGTGGTCAAACTATTATTAAAGGAGAAAAAAAACTGAGTTGGGATCTTAATAATACTCTCAGTAAACAAAACTCCTGGGTTTTACTTTACTTGCATTTATCTTGCATTTCCTAACTACTAGTATAAACTATATTTCTCAGTCTTTTTTTCCTGGGAGGACCATATGTGTTTGGGAAGAGCTGAAGTAGACATGAGAGTGGATATCTGAGCTTCTATGAAACTTCAGTCTTTTGTTGTATATAGCCTGTGGGAAAGAGGGTTTATATGGACTGGAGATGGATAATGAGACTTGGTTGGATTCCGTTAGTTATAGTGTAGTGACAAGGCATCACGCAAATGACTTTCATTGGATGTGGTCAACATCTGGTAAAATTTCGTAGAGCCGGGTCCCTCTGGACCCTTTCTTGCTCAATCTTCAGGATTTAGTGGTTTCTTATGCCCTCTGTTGGTCTTTTAGGCTGGCCTCTTCCAAATGGTTTTCATGCTAAACTAACATTCCACTTCAAATTTTATTTGCTGCTCTGCTAGTTGACTCTAAGAAATGAAAGTGAGTCCTTGAACCCTTTAGAAAGAGTCATTTTAAGTGTTGTTTAACCCCCAAATAGGCAGAAATGTGTTTGGGCTTCAGTGCCTTTTAAAAAGCATTCTAACCTCATGGTAATTCAAACCCACCAGTCTTCTCCTCAGGAGAAAGATGAGGCTGTTTTCTCTCATAAAGATGTATAACCCCAGAAACCCTCTGTAGGGTTTCTATGAGTTGGGGAATTGACTCAGTAGCACTGGATTTGTTTTGGAGTTTTGGGTCATCCAGAAAGCCTGTGTGTGTATTTAGTTTGGGGTATAGTGGTTATAGGCCCAGAGTGTGGAAAGTATGATTTGATAATACTCTCTATCTATACTTTATAGGGTAGCCCTGTACTATATCGAAATGTGAATTCACTAAGAGATCGAATATCGGCCTTCCAGTCAGCTTTTCACCCCATAAAGGAAAATGAGAAAATTCCTGACTGCCCTGAATTCTCAGCGGCAGAGAAAGAGTTTGAGACTACAGACGTCAGTGAGTAGAATTCACTCAGTTTTGACTTACGTGTTTATGCAAACAAACTCCTGAAAAACAAAAAAGATTTCATTCCACATTATCAAACAGTGAAGTAACAAATTAGTTATGCAATTAATTTTTTAAGAATGATTGTTTTCTTTACTATAACTGTTATTTTCTAAAACACATGTACAATTCATTTTCCAACCAGAGTATAACATTTATATTTTTGGATGGTTCATGCAAAAATACAGAATTCTTGTTTCTCTTGCTTAAAAAAAAACAAAAAACAAAACTGCCATTCTTGAACCAGCATTCCCATATGGTCACAATTCAGGTTTGAAGTTTCAAATGTTGAAGTTAATGACACCTCTTCAGACATAGAATAGGGCATGAGGCAGATTTGAAGTTGCAACCTTTGATTTTTGGAGGATTAATACCCAATCCTGATATTAAAATGTATATATCCAAATATTTTAAGTGATTGTACATTTTCATTATATTCTTTAGATTGTAACTTTTTTTTATAGTTACTTGAATTTTGAATTGTAAAGTATGTTAAACATTAGAATGAAATGAAATCTTATTATTACTATGATCATTAAAGGAGCCCTGGTAGCACAGTGGGCTGGCTATGCGTTGGGCTGCTAACCACAAGGTCAGCAGTTCAAATCTCCCAGCCATTCTACAACAGAAAGAAGATGCTTTCTGCTCCCTATAAAGATTTATGGGAAAGCAGGAAGCCCTACACGGGGTTGCTGGGAATTGGAGTGGGTTACATGGCATACCACCACCACCATCATAGTTATTTCTCTGGTGTGTTACACTCTAAAATTCAAAAGAGATGCTGAAAATTTCCATTTGATTTTGCTTTAACTTTTTGTTTTGTTTTGACTTCTTGACATCATTTTCAAATACATTTTTCAAACTTAACTTGTGTGTCAAGACAAACCAGATTTCATCCCCTCAAGAGAACATTACCCATTCAGATGTATGAGTTTACAATGTACCCATTTTTCCCTGAAATTTATGTAAAACATATTTATTTACATCATTATTATAATTTTGCAGAAAATTAAGTTATTGTTGTTATGTGCCGTGGTGTCGGTTCTGACCCATAGCGACCCTGTACAGGGTTTCCAAGGCTGTAAATCTTTATGGGAACAGAAAGCCTCATCTTTCTCCCGCGGAACAGCTGGTAGTTTCGAACTGCTGACCCTGAGATTAGCAGCCCAATTTGTAACCACTACGCTACCAGAGATTTAAGTACATTTTAAATATAGGAAGAACTGAGGTTTATTGTGGTTATATTTTTCATAAAATCATTACACTATCAAAGCATAACAAGTATGAATGAGAGCATAACTATGCTCTTTAAAATGTTTAAAATAGAAGGTTTCCATATAAATATAAAAATAAAATAACTATCTCACGAGAAATGCACATGGATTTTAACAAATTTTGTACATTTTATGGTCTGAAGAAGTTAATTCTAATATTAAAATTGATTATCTTTTAAGTACCTTAAGTCATCATGTTTTCTTGCTTTTCAGTGAGTTCTTATTTTTTAATACAAACATTACTAGAGTTTTCATTTATAAAGTATTTTGACACATGATTTTTACTGAATTTTGCTAACATGATCATGTAGCAATTTTTAAAAAGTGATATTGTGAAAGAAAACATAATATGTGTGATATTTTGTTTTTGTATATATAGTTAAAAAAGAAGGGCTTAGTGAACGACAGCAGTCTGGATTCTCTTCAAAGTTATCATCTAAACGTCGGAGAATATCCTATCAGAGCAACTCTAATGAAAATCTGATTGATGCTGAAAAAAAAGGAATTGATCTCCCGTTATTCAAAGCTGATACTCATCCCAGTGCAGACAGTACATGCACTGTTGAAGCTTCACCTGCCAATCTTTCTGAGGTAATTCGCTTACAACATAGGAAAATGAAGCTTTGGTTCTTTGCTTTGGCAGTTTTAAGACTGCCTAGGACTATTTTCAGTGAGTTTTGACCTTATACTGCCATACTGTACTCATATGTAAGTAGTGTTTTAAGTTACATACTTGTATGTGTTTATGTGTCATTTTCCTACATTTTAAGGCGGTTGATAAGTTTATTATTGGTTGTGACACAGTTTTGATATGTTTATGAAAAGATTAAGCCTTTGTGGTCTTCTGTATGCTAGGTTTGTTGTAGATGCTGATGATACAACAGTGAGTAAGTCACATTTCTGCCACTGAGGAGCTTTTTCTCTATTGGAGAGGGAGATACACCAATATAATATTTAAACACAATTGTTAAATAAGAGGAAGATAATATATGGCATGTAGGCTTGGGGCCTGGGGCACCTTGCCTCATAACTGCTTTAACATTGGCTAGTAAGTAGGGTTTGCGGCACTGCAGGATAAGCACTGGACTGCAGAGTTTGGAAGAAAACAATACAATTAAAGATCCTGTACCCTAACTAATATGTAAATGAAGAGTTAGTTCTCCATGACTGACTCTGCGTCATTTTCTTGTTTCTGGTTTGATAGAGTAGCTTCCCATTTCTTTAGTAGTAAGAAGGAAGTTCTTAATGCGATTAAAAGTTGGAACTTTTTCCCCCTGCACTTTACTCTTGTACAGAGATCTGATTCATATCCTATTGATCTTATTTGGATTAGCACAGTACATGTCTGACATCATTAAAGGTTCTTAGGAGTCAGATTTCATTTATATTTCAGAGTTGCCTAAAGTATACTCCTTTTTCTCTTTGCTTTATTCAAGATAATATGAAATCATTGTATGACAGAGAAGCAGTAGTAATTATTTTTTATTGGTACTTTGATTCATTTTTTGGGTATTAGTCATGAATTAGAACTGATTTCTTAGTAGATTTCCTGTGCTAGACATAGCACTCTTCTGTCATCAACATGATTAGGTCTTCATGTAAAAATCGGTATTATGTGAAAATGGAGGATGACCACATGGCTATATAACTGCCAAACCACAGAATCCTGGCCCAGTCAAGTTGACACATAACTGTAGCCGTAACAAGCCAGCATCGTTACTCTCACCTTGCACCTTTGCGATCATTACCGCCCAGACGTATGTCGTTAATGTGCAAAACATATGGGTAGTGTAGGTATTTTACTATTGTCATAAATGTGAAATGTGTAATACAGTAATTGATAAATGAGAAGATGTGCTTGTTTTCCTTTGCTAGTTATTGATGGACATGTGCTGTTGTGCTGTAGGATAAGTACTGGTCTGCTAACCACAAAGTTGGCAGTTTAGACCCACCAGTTGCGCCTCAGAAACCCTATACAGGGTCACTATGAGTCAAAACTGACTCGAGGGCACACTTAACAGCAATAACAACAGTTATTAATATCTTTTCTTGTTTGTTTACTAAATTTACCACTTTTTTTTTTCTTTTGACCATTTAATCTTTGTTGGATACCAGTTAACACAGTTTTCTAGGTTTCAATAGTAGGACACCAGAAACATGCCTTTTAAGCTTTTCTTATTGAGCTGAGTGAGACCTGGTTATGAAGGAAGTGTGGCATGCAGTTATGATAGGTACTCTTGTTAGATTTCCATGTACTTTCATAATACTTTATTTTTTTCCCAAGAAATCTTCTGGACCTGGTTTAACACGGTCTAGGTGTTTAGTTGAAGAGTCTGTTCAACTTTCAGATCTCACAGAGGCTTCAAGTGGTAAGTAATTTTTCTTTAATACATATGCACTTTACCCATCCAAGCATTCATCCAGTGGGCATTTATGGTTGGTGTACCTATACTAAAATGTAGGAAAACCAAAATGATTACTTCTTACTTTAAAAAAGTCCATGGCCTAATTTTAAAATTTTTGTTATGTGAAAATACAGCATCTTCATTGTTGAGCTGCTTCCATTACGATTTAGTAAAATGTTTCTAAGCTATTACAATCTCTTATAAAAAAATAGGACCTATTGAAATATTAAAAGTGTTTTTTTTGTTGGAGAAACACTACCAATGATCTTTTTTAGTTTGTAAGTGTCTGAAGAGAGTTCTCAGGTCCTGTAAAACAAAAGATGTCAGAAGCAAATGTTCAAATCATCTCACCAGGAAACCCTCCTGCGTCTCTGAGGTATATCTTCTACTTTTCTTCCTTTTGCAATAGATCAGTGTACTCACCCAAGACCAGCCCCTTCGTTATGGGCTGGTTCCCATCACCTCATCTTTTTTCAAAACCCTGTGTTTGAGTCATCCCCCACTTTTCTAAATTGTTAACGTTTCTTGTTAATACTCTTCAGTATGCAGTATTATGTTGCATCTGAAACTTTCCCTGGATCCAGGATTTCCATCCAGCCATAACTTCATTTCTTTGCTCTCCTCTAAAGCAGAACTCCATTTGAGAGCAGGCTGCACAATGTCTCCTTGCCTCCCATTCTACGTTGAACTAGCTCCAAACATGCCTTCATAACCAGCATCTACCTCCTCATCATAGTCTTGGTGGGGTGCTGTGGGTTAATGCACTGAACTGCAAGGTCATTGTGAATTGCAAGGTCGGCAGTTCAAACTCACCAGCAGCTCTTTGCGAACCCTATACAGGCTCCGTATGGGTCAGAACAGACTCAACGACACTTAACAACAACAACCTTCTCCCTGCCATCCCAGTAGTCTCAGTATATTCTTCTCCTTGATGTTTCAGCAGCATTATAGACAGAGTCGACCGTGTCCTACCATAAGAAATTTTCTTTACTGGGCTTTGGGACGTCATCCTCTCCAGTTTTCCCCCTATATCACTGACCATTTCTTCTAGGTATACTTTTCTTATTCCTCTTTTTTCCTGACATTTAAACATGTGAATATATCTAGGTTCAGTTCTTGGATGTTTTCTTTCTACTCTTACTCCATAAGTGATTTCAGCATTCTTATAACCATTTATGGAGCTGTGGTGTGGCACTGTGGGTTAATGCGCCAGACTGTAAAGCCATTTGAACTGCAAGGTTGGTGGTTCAAGCTCACCAGCTGCCCCTTGGAAACCTTATACAGGGTTGCTGTGGGTCGGAATTGACTCAACAGCACTTAAGAACAATATAACCATTTATATGCCATTAACTTCAAAATGGAAATAACTGTCCTCCACTTCTTCCTTGAACCTCTAGACTTAAATTCCCAGGTGCTTTCTTGATCGTCACTTGGATGTTTAATAAACTTCTCAAATTTACCCTACTCAAACAGATTTTACTTAGTTTTTCAGCATCTCTTTTGAATTTTAGAGTGCAACACACCAGAGAAATAACTATGATGGTGGTGGTGGTATGCCGTGTAACCCATTCCAATTCCCAGCAACCCCATATAGGGCTTCCTGCTTTCCCATAAATCTTTATAGGGAGCAGAAAGCATCTTCTTTCTCTTGTAGAATGGCTGGGAGATTTGAACTGCTGACCTTATGGTTAGCAGCCCAACGCATAGCCAGCCCACTGTGCTACCAAGGCTCCTTTAATGATGGTTATACTTGGTCTCTCATACTTCAAGCATATTTTCAGGAGGGACCATTTCCTGGAAAAGGACATCATGTTTGGTAAAGTGGAGGGTCGGAGAAAAAGACGAAGACCCCTAACGAGATGGATTGGCTAGCACAGTGGCAGCAGCAATGGCTCAAGCATAGCAAAGATTGTGAGGTTGGGGCAGGACTAGGCAGTGTTCATTTGGTCGCTATGAGTCGGTACTGATTTGAAGGCCCCTAGCAACAACATCACAACTACAATACAATATTATAACCTTTAAATTGACACTGGTAAAGTCCACTGATACATACCTTACTTTGTGTATTTGATTCCATGCACTTTTATCACTTGTGATTCTTGTGATCACATCATAGACAAGCTACAGAATAGTTCCATCACGAGATAACTTGTGTTACACTCTTTGTAGCCACAGCTACTTACCTCCTACTCCACCCTTTTTGTTGTTTGTGTTTTCTTTTGTTTTGTATTGTCTTCGGACTTGTTATCTGGAGGGACCAGTTCCTGAAGAAGGACATCATAGTGTAGGGTCAGTGAAAAAGGAGAAAACCCCCAGTGAGCTGCATTGGCACTGTGGCAGTAACAGTGGGCTCAAGTGTATCAACAATTGTCAGGATGGCACAGGACTAGGCAGTGTTTTGTTCTGTTGTGCATAAGATCGCTATGAGTTGGAAACAACTTGAAGGCACTGAACAACAGCAACACCATTTGTTGAAACAAATGGAGGAGTTTTTTATGTTCCTTTCATCATTGAATCTCCATTACCTCAACATTACCTGTCACTAGTAGATGCCAGATACACAATTGTTAAAAGAATCACTAATTCAAAAGACAATGCTCCCTGTCAGGAAGAATTTGTTTGGGGGAAAACCTTGTCTTGATTTAGGCACGTAACAGTATGTTAGTGTTTTGTTCTGATATTCTTTTCTCACCATCTCTTCCTCTCTCACCCCTTCTCATTCTTGCATCCTGAAATTCTTCTGACTCCAGCAATAAAGTTGGTCATTATTCAATGCTTCGCTCAGGTTAGTTTCATGGTGTCTAATAAGGCTAGCAGTGTACGGCTGATTTCAAGATGCCTTCTCATAATCTTTGACCCACATTTCCGTTGAGCCCAGATCACTTACTTTCCTTGACCCTAAGTAATTAAGATTTGACTTTTAAAATGTGATGAGTGTCACTTGCCTGTCTTTTTTTTTTACATTTCCAACTGAAGCCCTTGACAGTACTCCTTAAGCAGGTTGAGTTTCTTAATAGCATATTATTGTCATCATTTTAAGTATACATTATTTTTGTTCTATACTGGACCGATTTGAAAACCTTTTATCTCAATGATTACTCTGAAGGAATCAAGGTCGCTGACTGCATAAAGGACAAGGGAGCAAGTGCTGCTGTTTCACAGAAAACTTGGTTGGAGAACAACTTGACAGAATCAGCGAGCTTAGCCATAGTTCCTGACTTCAAGTCACCAGTAACTTCAGTGTGCAAGAAAGATATTCCATCCTCTGAGACCTTTGTTCTTCGTTCTGTCCTGAAGAAACCCTCTGTTAAGCTGTTTCCAGAAAGCTTGCAGGTGAGTATAGAACTACATTTTCCAAAGCAAATTGAAAAATGATTCATTTTGCTACAGAGCCATACCTGTGAGATATGTTATATGTTAACTGATATATAGTTAAATGTCTTATCCTCTTTTTTCCCTGCTCATTTCTCATTTCTAGGGCTGTTTCACTTTGTTTCTTTTTGCTTTGGCAAATTTTCTTTTCTAACTCAATCTTATATATAGTGTGGCGCTGTGGGCTAATGTGTCAGACTGCAAGGTTAGTGGTTCAAGCTCAGCAGCTACTCCTTGGAAACCCTATAAGGGTCGCTATGGGTCAGAATCAACTCGACGGCACTTAACTACGACAACATACAGAATTTAATATAAACAGACTATAGGTTTTAAATGGAATCCTAGTGTGGTTATGTAGGGTAAGCACTGGACCCGATAGTTCATACTCTCCAGCCCATCCTCAGAGACTGCATACAGAGTCGCTATGAGTCAGAATTGACTGGACAGCACTAAACAACAACATAGTTTATTAGAAGGCTTAGTATTAATGGATTGATCTATTATCTATTTCCACCCAGAATAGATGCTTTTAGGATTATCCTTCTTCTCCCCCTCCTAGGCTGCTTTATTCTCTAAACTCACTTAGTTTAAGGAAAGAATGTGTTAATGGAACTAGGTGGCATTTATAGAGTGATTTTTGTTCTACAGTTCTGATGTATAAGGGTGAGTCAAAAATTATCTGCACTTTAGCTGTAGAATTTATTTTAATTAACTTTTTAGAAAACACGAATGTATCCTTATTGACATGTTCTCTTTGCTTTTCAATACACTTTTGTCCATCTGTCAACAAGCTTTCACATTCCCTCATTAAAAAGTGTTTTGGGCTGAGCTGCGAGTCACGAATGCACTGTTGTCTTCAGTACTTCATCAGAGGTGAATCTTTGTCCTGGAATGGCTGCTTTCAGGAGACCAAACATGTGAAAGTCCCATGGACTTAAAACAAAATTTGAAAATTGAAACAGAGGGCATGGAAGCAAATACTCTTGAATGATGATGCACAGAGGAGATTGTAACCACTGCAGTGAGAAATGATAGTTTAAAGCTGATTTTCCCCCTGTAAACTATCACTCAGTTCACAATAAAAAAAAAACAAAAAAACAAACTTCCAGGGCTCCTTGAGAATACCACAAAGCAAACATCAAGTACTGATATTGGAATCAGCATGCAATTGTTATATTTTTACCAAGCTAGGCCAAATGTTTACACATACAACATTTGACAACTAAAATGCTGTTTCAATTAAAAATACAACATAGGAGTAAACATGAATGTTATTTTACAAAATAATCTAGCTCACAAATATTGCTTTGTTCGTTTTTCTGTGCAAGAAAGTAAACTGACTTGGGAGATTGATGACTAAAATTAATTTGGGGTAAGTCTATTTTCTTAAAGAAGGTGCTGTTTGTGCAGTGGGTGTAATGGAGAAAAGGAATTGAACAATGTCTGGTCGAAAGATTAAGGTGAGGCTGAACAAGTATATGATAGTTAAGTGACTCTGAGCCAGCCGACAGCTCTGCTGCTGTCTCCTGCAGAGCTCCAAGGGCCTTGGTATTCAGATTTGCCTTGACTTTCTGCAGGATTTGTACTGTCTCTGCCTTAGTAATTTACAGTACTATGTTGTCCCATTGGTGAAGGAGGCACAGAGGGATACATGCTTGTTCCTTCATGAAGAATATAGGAGTACAAGAGGAGGTTTACATATTTATAAAATGTGTGGTTTACATGTTTAAAAGACAATCCCCTCTTTTACCTATTGGCTTTTTTTCTTTTGTTTTACTACAGTTCTTACACATCAGATTGTTTTTGTAGTTTATTACGTAACGTGACAACATATATCATGTATTACAATTCTCATGTTTTCCTTAACTCATTTGCCAAATCTAAGATTAGGGAATGAATTCTAGCTCACATTTATGGATTTCTGTCTTTGATTTTGGCTTGTTATTAGGAGCCATCGAGTCAGTTTTGACTCATAGTGATCCTCTGAAGAACAGAACGAAACACTGCCCAGTCCTGTGGCCTTCGGACAGTTGTAATGTGTGAGCCCATTGCTGATAACACTGTACTAATCCATCTTGTTGGGGGTCTTCATCTTTTTCACCTACCCCTCCACTTTACCAAGTATGATGTCCTTCTCCAGGCACTGATCCCTCCTGACAACATGTCTGAAGTATGAGAGAGGAAGCCTTGCCTTCTCCTGATCTTGGCTTTTAAGGAACATTCTGGTTGTACATCTTCCAAGACAGATTTGTTTGTTCTTCTGCCAGTCCATGGTGCTTTCAGTATTCTTCAAAAACATAATTCAAATGTATCAGTTCTTCTCTGGCCTTCCTTATTCATTGTCCAGCTTCCACATACATATGAGGCTACTGAAAATGCCATGACTTGGGTCAGGAGAGCCTTAGTCCTTAAACTGACATCTTTTGTCGTTATCATTTTAAAGTCTTTTGCAACATATTTGCCCAGTATAATACATGTGATTGCTTTACTGCTGCTTCAATGAGTGTTGCTTGTATATCCAAGGAAAATGAAGTCTTTGACAACGTCAATCTGTTCTTGGTTTATTATGATCTTGTTTATTTATTGATCCAGTTGTGAGTTTTTCTTTATATTGAGGTGAAATCATACTGAGGGCTATAGACTTTGACCTTCATCAGTGAAGTATTTTAAGTCTTCTTCACTTCCAGCAAGCAAGGTTGTATCATCTTTATATCATAGGTTGTTAATGAGTTTTCCTCCAATCTTGATGCCGTTTTCTTCTTCATCCAGTTTCTTGGATTATTTTCAGCATACAGATGAATAAGTATGGTGGCTCACACCATTCCTGATTTTAAACCATTCATTATCTCCTTGTTCTGTTCTAAAGACTGCTTACTTTGTGTACATTACAGGTTCTTCATGAGTGCAACTAATAAGTATCTGTATTACCCATTTTTTTGCAGTGTTAATCAGAGCTTGTTATCCACACAATCAAATGCCTCAAGTGCCTTTATATATTCAGTAAAGCACAAGTAAATATCTTTTTTGTATTCTGTGCTTTTAGGCAAGATTCATCTAACTTCAGCAATGATAGTCCTAGTTCCACATCCTACTTTGAATATGGCTTAAATTTCTGGCAGCTCCCTGTTGATATACAGCTGCAACTGTTTTTTAAGAAACTTTTACTTGCTTTAAGTATCGGTCCAAATTTTGTTTGCAGATGTCTAAACACTTCTGTTTATGCTCTTCCATGAGTTTTGGTACCCATCTTGCACAAACTATTCGAAACCCAGGTCTGTCATGCATTATTTCATAGACAGAGCCATGGCTGATTTGCAGATGATTTGCCACATAATCTGCTGTCACTTCTCTATTTGACAGAATCATTTCCCGTGCATGCCCAATGTTGTCATCAGCCATGGACTTGAACATGCGGAGAGCGGATGACTTTTGACTCTGTCTTGTATATGTGTATCTATATAAAGAGAACTTTATTGTCAAGGAAATGGTTTACAATGTAGAGTCCCGGGTCCCCAGTGGAAGTGAGAGAGAGAGCCTTTACCACATTTCCATTATATTGAGATCAGGCCTCACCCCTAAGCAATCATCCCTTCAATTGATTGATTGCTCATAGGCACTCATCATAGAATTAACTATGACTGTATTAGGTTTCATCACCATGGGAATAAGCACAGCCCAATTGCTAATCCATGAGAATGCTTGTCTAGTCAAGTTGACACAGATCCCTACTTCTGCATCTCTTAATTCAGGTTAGATAAGTTTAAGGTCATGTTTTGGCTCTCGTGGAATTGTTTTTTAATTTTCTTATGCTTCAGTCTGAACTTGCATGTGAGCAATTTATGGTCTACCCCTAGCCTTGTTTTATGTAATGATAATGGAGCTTCGCCATCATGTCTTCCAACAGATGTTGTAAATTTGATTTTTGTGTATTCCATCTGGTGAGGAACGTGTATTGTTGTTGTTTTTAAGTGCCATTGAGTGGGTTCTGACTCATAGAAACCCTATATCGGGTTTCCCAGGAGCAGCTGGTGGGTTTGAACTATTGACCTTGTAGTTTGCAGTCCAGTGCTGATCCACAACACCACACCAGAAGCCGAAAAACAGTATTTGCAATGGATAAGTCATTGGTCTTGAAAAATTCTATCATGCAATCTCCAGCATCATTTCTATCACCAAGGCCACATTTTCCAACTACTGATCCTTCCTCCTTGTTTCCAACTTTTCTATTCTGATCACCAGTAATTATCAATGCATCTTTATTGTATACTTGATCAATTACAGATTGAAAAAATTGGTTTGTTAAGTGCTGTGTAGTCGGTTTCAATTTATAGCAACCTGGTGAAGGGTTTCAGAGGCGTGCCTGGTGGATTTGAACCACTGACCTTATGTTTAGTCTAGTGAGTATCCTACTGTGCACCACACCAGGACTGAAGAATTTGGTAGAATTCTTCAGTTTCTTCATCACTGGTTTTAGTGGTTGGTTTGCATATTTGACTTACAGTGGTATTGACTGATTTTCTTGTAGGGGTATGAATATTATCCTATCGTGGACAGCGTTGTTCTTCAAGATGGATTTTGAATTGCTCTTTTTTGACGATGATTGTGATGCCATTCTTCTTCAATTTTTCATACCCAGCATAGTAAACCATATGATTGTCGAATTCAACATGGCAACTCTTGGTCCTATTTCAGCCCAGTAATGCCAAGATATTGATGCATTCCATTTCATTTTTGATAACTTCCAGTTGTGTTAAGAGTCATCCATTATACATTCCATGTTCTGATTTTTAATGGATGTTTGCAGCTGTTTTTCCCCCCATTTTGAGTTCTGCCGCATCAGTAAATGAAGCTCTCCAAAGTTTTGCTCCATCCACATCATTAAGATCAACTCTCCTTTGAGATGGCAGCTTTTGATTTTGTCCTAGAATACTGTTAACTATTTTGTTGTTGTAGTTAGTGTCGTTGATTTGGTTCCTACTCATAGCAACCCTGAAGAGGGTTTCCGTGGAGCAGATGGTCAACCTTGCTAAATTACAGTCTAGGTAACCTATTTTTTTTTTTTTTTTTTTTTTTTTTGTGGTTATTATTATGGTCTTTTAAGATGGTCTTTACTAATTATGAAAGTAAGGAAATCTTTTATACTAGAACATTTACCCTTGGGGGAAAATTCAAAATTGAAATTTTAAATGAATATTTATATCTATTGATGCTTATATTGTTAGAAACGTTGTGGCAACCTCTGTGATGATGGGACTCATCCAAGTGTAATCTCAAATCTTGGAAACTCTTGCAAAGAACAAAAAGCAGGTAAAAAGTTCATTTTTTAAGGCTGAGAGTGTAATTTTCATGCTTAAAAGAAACGTGTAAATGCAATTATCTCCTAATGCCTTGATGCTTCTTAAATAACTTAAGAACAAAGAACATTTGGAAAAGATAAAATCTTGGAGAATTTTGGTGTTTAACCTTCTGATAATAGTAGCTTCTGTCAGTAATAACAGAATTGATCTATCCTGTTCATATATTTCTTTTTGCTCAGTAGTTAAATTTGAACAGAAATCTATAATCCATTGATTTCATAAACCTCTTCATGTAAAATTTAGTTTAAAATCCATTAAAAAATAAAATACTTGCCATTGAGCTGGTTCTAACTTATGACAGTCCCATGTGTGGTAGAGTAGAACTGTGCTCCATAGGACTTCCAATTGTTGGTTTTTCAGAAATAAATCTCCAGGCTTATCTTCCAAGATACATCTTGGTAGACTCGGACCCTCAACCTTTTAGTTGCGGATAAGCATTTATCACACTTAAACTAAAAATGTTTTTCCACTTAAAATTTTCTTTATGAATAGTTATTTTTTACTGTACAAATAATAGCAGAATGTAATCTTATTATAGCAGCCTAGCATATGTCTTTTATACAGCTTAGCTTTAAAATGTATTCTCATTTATTATCTATAGAAAATCAAGAAAGTTATCAAGTACCAGCCTTTGTCAATGTGAAGACGAGAAAGAGAGTTACTTTTGGAGAGGACCTAAGCCCTGAAGTATTTGATGAATCCTTGCCAGCAAATACTCCACTGAGAAAAGGAGAGACACCTGCCCGTAAACAGGATGTAAACAGTACCAGTCCTCTGCGACTTGAGCACTCACCTGAATTACTACAACCAAATTTTGATGACAAAGGGGAGAATCTTGTAAGTGTGAAAAATGTGGGGAAAACTGTATTTTCACCAGGATACTTATTTTGCTTGAGCAATAATATATGCTTAGAAATCTTAAAATTGGTGTTTGATTGTATAAATTAATATATTTCTCTATTTTGTTGTTGTTGCTAAGTGCCGTCGAGTCTGTTCGGACTCCTAGCATCCCTGTATAGGGTTTCCAAGCAGTGGCTGGTGAGATTGAACTGCTGACCTTGTGGTTCAAATAAACTTTGCCGTCCAGTGCTTTATCCCACAATGTCCCTCCAGGACTTCTCTATTTAGGTTGTTATTATTTTACCGCTAAATAGTATTTCCATCAGTCTTTGTACATTACATAGCATATTTCATGGAATCCAGATGCTACTGATTATATGATGTGCTGTTATTTCATGTATTACTAAGAAAAAACACTGAAAACTCAGTGAACACACCATGAATTATAAGAAGTACTTAGATTTCAGAGGTGTTAAATTGTGAAAGAAATGAAATAGTATCAATGTATGTTCCAGTTCCACCTTCTCCCAATGAGTTTCTACAATTAGAATGATTGGATTAAAGAATATGACCGTTTTTAGGCTTTTGAGACATATTCCTAAGTTACCACTCAGAATGTATGAACTCAGAGAAATAGAAATTGTTTTACCATACCCTTGTAAATCATGGGTATTATCCAAAAACTATTTTAATTTTTAAATAATAGCAGAAAAGGATGATTGGAACAAATTGTTTTAGTGAGCTATGCCAATTAATATTCCTTTTGGGACAAGCATTTATTCTCTTTCACACTAGTACACTTTGAATATGAGTCTCCCAATTCTGGACAAGATGTAGTGATAGGAATGTAATTAACACTCACACTTGAACACTAGAGGAAACATATGAGACAGCAGTTCTCAACACATTGATCCCTGAGAGACAGGTGACAAATGAACTGAGCCTTACAGTTGTCCCAACTTAATGTCTATACTAAATTTCCAGGCCATATCATAAGGAGGAGAGCCCAAGAAGAGCCCCTTGTTTTTCTGAGTTGAGAAGATGGAGTTGGTAGTCTAGGAAAGCCTTGGGAACTAGAGTTCACGGGGCAGAGAAATGGAGAGGAGGGAGCCACATAGAGAGCTCTGGAGATCCTGCTGGTGGCCTCAGTGCATGGCCTGAATAAGCTACCCAAGGCTAGGAAAGAGCTGTTTTAGTGGTGTAGAGGGAAGAAGCCCTAGACCTCCCACACAGTGTGGTTGTTGATTAGTGCTGTCTTGTTGGTTCCTACTCATAGCGATGCTATGTAGGGTTTCTGAGGAGTGGCTGGTGCATTTGATCTGCTGACTCTGTGGTTCACAATCCAGTGCTACTCCTACAGCGCCACACGAGGAGTAGGAAAACCCTGTAATTCAGAGTACTAGGGAGAGTATTGCCTCATTAAACCAGAAAACGAAACCTGTTGCTATCGAGTTGTTTTCAACTCAGAGTCACCCTATAGAATAGAGTAGAACTACCCAATAGGGTTTCCAAGGCTGTAAATCTCTACAGGATATCCCGGTGTGGCTCTGTGTGTTAATGTGCTGACCTGCACTGTCGGTTTGAGCCACAAAGTCGGCAGGTCAAGTTCACCAGGTACTCCTTGGAAACCTTTTACAGGGTTGCTATGGAACCAACTCAACAGCACTTAACAACAGTCTTCACAGACACAGATTGTCACTTCTTTTTCTCTTCCAGTGGCTGGTGAATTTAAACTGCTGACCTTTTGGTTAGTAGCTGAGTGATGTAATTACTGTGCCTACAAGAATCCTGTTGCCTCATAAGTGAGGCAAAATTAGACTTAGAGCTGCTCTGGTCCTGCTTAACAGCTGAGAGGGAATCCTTGTAAGGCTCAAACTGAATCTAACTAATTACCTGCAATGCACGGGCAAAACTCAAGACTACTTGTATGACTACAAAATCATCCAGCTTCAGTAGACACAACTCTGAATGTCTGACTTCCAGTCAGTTAAAATTTAGCAGTTAAGCAAAATAGTGACAAAAATGTCTTCCGTAATGAGGAGGACATTTGTTTAATAGAAGAAAGACCTAGAAGTGACATAGCTGATAGAATTTATAAGTAAACACATCTGAAAACTTACTATATTTATATTACATATGTTCAAGAGGGGAGAGGAAAGACTGAGCTTGTTAAAAAAAATGGAAGATAAAGGCCCAAATTGAACTCTAAATTTGAAAATGACAATATCTGATTTGGAAAAACTATGTTGAATATGATTGTTAACAGACTAGGCACTCCAATAGAAATGATAGTGTTCTGGCTGGAGACTACAGTGACAGCGAAGACAATAGTGAAGACAAATTGAAATGATGCTGAATGAAACAAAGGCAAGAAATTGAACAAAAAATAGCTGGGACAACTTTAGGTGACATGTTTGTGTAATTAGAATGCAAAGATAAAGTGGGAAGAAAATATATACAGATAGAGAGGGATGACCGGGGAATACTGGATGAAAAATTTCTGAATTTGATGGAAATTATAAAGCCACAGATTCTAGACAGAGACAAACATCAAGCACATACACACAAAAAAAACCATGAAGAAAAATACACGAAGACAAATTCACCATCAAATTTAAAATCAAAGAGAAGTCAAGGTAAGCAGACACATGATATGTGACAGAAGAACAAATACATAATTGACAGCATACTTATTATTGAAAACCATGCAAGCAAGATGAGAGAGTATCAAAGTATTAGAAGTTTTGAAAGTAAAAATGTCGCTGCCAATGTACTATTCTGTATCTCCAAAACTATCTTTAAAAATAAAGGTGAAATAAAAACTTAAAGAAAATATTTTTTAATGCTTAAAAAAATAAGCTTGGAAATGGAGAAATGGGCAGCATCAGCATCATCGAGCCCAGTGCTCCTACCAAGTCCACACCTGCCCCCAGACCCTCTGCCATGGAGGCCCCAGGAAACACCTACCTGAAGCCTGCCTAACCCAAAGGAAATGCCAAGGGAGACCTGACTCAATTATCTATGAAAACCCAGTTATCAGGGCACTTCCAAATGGTCTAAGTTTCCCAATAATACTATTTTGGTCACAGGTAAATAATTATATTTCAATCTTCCTTGTTGGTGACAATTTAAATTGTGATCTTCAAAATCACTACAACTTTCTGCAGTATCTTCTGCTCACCCCAGGGTGCTGGCTGTTGGGCTCACTCTGAAGGACCCAGAACCCACAGTTGACTGACTGCAGGTCTTACTGGACACAGGGAGGCTATCGGATGGGCAGAGGGCCGCCATACTTGAGCACCTAAGTGTGGTGTCTGGGGCGCTTGGGAAGGAAGGACTTTTGCTGTCTGGAAAAAAATGTAGGTTAGTTTAACATTTATTATCTCAATAAATTTAGGTAAAATTCAGTAGCCATTTCTGATTAAAATCTCAGCAACGTGGCAAAAGAAAACAATTTCCTCAACTTGATCATTAAATCTATGAAAAAAAAACAGTTGCCATCAAGTCAATTCCAACACTTGGAGATCCATTATTTCTCAGAGTAGAACTGTGTACTTCATTAGCTTTTCATGGCGATGACTTCTCAGAAGCACATTCCCAGGCCTTTCTTCCTAAGTACCTCTGGATAGGTTCAAGCTGAATGGTAACCATTTGTGCTACTCACGGACAATGTTGTTAAGTGCTGTCGAGTTGGTTCTGATGCACAGAGACCCTGTATAGGGTTTCTGAGGAACACTTGGTGAGGTTGAATTGCTGACCTCATGGTTCAAACCAACCTTGAAGTCCAGTGCTTATCCTATGAACCACACTAGGCCTCCACCCATGGCTAATCATATTGGCATTTATGTGGGAGAGAAAAGATTTGATGTTTTTGTTTACATTACTATTTAACCCTGAAGTTCTCTGGAACCACTGCACTGTTTGAGTGTGTTTATTAGTGAGTTTTCTTATTTGCTTTAAAGGAGTTAGGACTTGGAATCTTAAATCAAAAAGTAACTTATTAGTAGTTCATTATTGCTACTTTCAGTGAAGTTTTTAGTTTTGTTTTGGTGGATTGCAGTTAGTAAACATGGTTTCATTGTAAAGATAAAGGATTGTGATTTGTGTATATCTGATGTCTTTGTTTTATCATTGATTTTTCATCCTTATTGCTTATTGTGATTTCTCCTACCTAAGTAAATAATTTTTCTCTTAGAATTAGTATTTATATATGAGTTAGATTTAAGGATGTCTGTTTCCAACTCTTGTTTTTCTGTGTTTAGGAAAACATAGCACCACTTCAGGGACCATTTCCAGTTCTGAGTCCTAATAAATCTTCAGTGTCTGAGACTCTTTCAGGTAGTGATTTTTGTTTCTCATAATCATAAATGTCATTTTCAGTATGTGTATATGTAGAACTTAACTTTATTTTCTTTTTAAGCTTTAATTTTATTATAGCAATTCATACTTGGTTTCAAAAGGCCAAAATAGCATACATAGAAAAACTTGTAGAATGCCTTATTCATCCACTTCAAGTTCCACACCTTTTTGCTTAGACAGAAATCCCCCATTTTTCAAGTGATTATCAGCTCTGAAGTACTTTCAGATCCTTCTCAATTTCTTATTTTCCCCTGTCCATTCTAATTTACATGAATTGTTTTCAACAACTCTTAAGTATCAACATGAATTTCTATTTCACAGTTTATACAATTAAATGATTCAGGTAGTAGGGTCTTTTTTTAATGTCTAAAGTCTTTTCATTAACACTAGCATAGCAGTTTTGCCATATGTACTTTCCAAGGTCTCTGGCTTTTTTATTTTCTTGACAAGGCAACCACAATTCCTCCCAGTTTTCCTGGTAGGCTAGGACCTAGTTGGCAGAGGCCATGGGAGTAGCTCAGGGTGGAAACCATTGTTCATGTCTCTGAAGTTCTTTAGTGGCTTATCGTCACTGATAGGATTAAACTCATTAGTTCAGAATCCAAGCCATATCTTACATTAGAACTAAAACTGTAAAGTTCTAAGACCTATTCCCTTAAACACATTATACTGTTTTTCATTTATATCATTGTTATGGTTAAGTGTCAGTTCTGACACATAGCGAACCTGTATAGGGTTTCCAAGGAGTGACTGGTGGGTTTGAACTGCCGACTTTGTAACTCAAAACTGACCGTGCAATTCAGTGCATTCTCCTACAGTGCCACACCAGGACTCCATTCATGCCCTTGTTGTTGTTGTTGTTAAGTGCCATCGAGTCGGATCCGACCCATAGCGACCCTGTACAGGGTTTCCGAGGCTGTAAATCTTTACGGGAGCAGAACGCCTC